GGAGAAAGAAATGGGTTTGGAAGACATGCATCACACACACGCACACTTATTACAACATTTGCCCTCTCGACGGGGGGTCCGAAAGAATAAGCTAAGCTAGCTACACTAAGCTAAGCTACTTAACTAATCTAATAATCTAATTAGACTAATTATTACACAACACAAATTGAATACCTAGCTACAACTAATTATTACAATACTCTAATTAATTAACAAATTAATTAAGTTACAAAACCAACTAAGTGAGAAAAAGAAGCTAAATTAGGCTGCCACAGCTCTGCCTCGAAATAATGAATGATGCATGCTCGGTCGGCTTCGCTCAAAAATCCATTACCATGCCCCCAATTGTCTCTGTTTGCATTTGGTTTGATTTCAGAACACTGCACAAACTCCAGAATGCTTTTTCTCCAACACAGGGACCTCCTGGTGGGCTGCCGACCAAAAAAGGGTGGTGTAGACCACCTGTAGACCAGAAAACCTGGCAGTAGACCAGAAAAAGTGGTCGGCTAGATACTTTTACTGGTCTGCCGACCAAAATTTTTTCCAAACTCTAGTTTTGCTGCAACAGAGAACAAGAAGGGGCATGACAGTGTATTTGCAAGATATATGTGCACAACCACTCTCCCTATCATTTCTCAAGCTCAAGGGAGTGCGGTACTCGACTCTCGGGCCACCAATCGAGCATCGCAATGCACGATGGCCGAGAAGCCAAGTTTGCATAATTCAATGTCAATGAATGCACAAATAACACATAAGGGCCTCCACCTCTATCATGCTTGATCAAGAAGGTCAGCGACCGAGAAAAGAGGCTCGTTTCATTACTTCAAGTATGAAATGCCCCTCGTTTCTCGTGTTTGGATTAACAACCAATCCAAACACAATGCAATGCAACAACACTCCCAACACAATGCAATGCAACAACATGCAAACACAATGCAATGCAACAATATGCAAGCAAGATGCAATGCAACAACATGCAAACAATATGCAATGCAACAACATGCAAACAACATGCGATTCAACAACATGCAAACAACATGCGATTCAACAATGTTAATGTGGCATGCACAAGGTTCTATCACATGAACAATGCATGCAAGACATGTTCGGAGGCTAAAGCATCAAAGCAAGTAAAGAGCATCATACAAGAGGCAGGCAATACAATGCTCAATGGACTTAAACCAACCTCACATAAACCTCATGCATGCCCAAACAATGGCCAAAAGGTGCTGAAACTTAAACACAAGAAGCAAGAAAAGCATGCTCAACTCATGGCTCGCAAGTAAGTCACATAACTTAAACCTCAAACGCATTGAAAGAGTGATAAACATGAGAGTATAACAAGTCCATATGCTCTGAAATTATGTTCCAAATGATGCCAAATCATGCACATATCACAAATGAAGCATGCTAGGGGGCTCAAAGCTTAAGGCTATCAAAGGCACTTGCACCATAGCCATATCAAGCAAGCCCCAAAGGGCCAAGGTGACTCAAAACAGTTCTAAGGCAGGTCAAAACAATGCCAAAACATGCATGGAATAGAGCTAACACGTGCTAGAATGTGAAGCAAAAAGCATGATGCATGTAAGGCCAAAGAGGGGGATTACACTACACCTACCAAAACCAAGCATGAGATGACTTCACCAACAAAAATCAGAGTTGTAACATGGCAAAATAAGACCAAAAACACACTGAAATGGTAACCCAAAAAGCTTAGGCAAGCATGCATGCCAATTGGCTCATGATTGAGGCATAAAGCATAACCCTCCAAAAGCATTGAAAGAGTGAAGCATGAGAGAGTATGGCCACACTACACACACTGAAATCATGTTAGACATGAGGCCAAAGCATGCAAATAACTAAAGTAAGCCATGCTAGAGACTATGAAACTCAAAGCTAGTGAGCAAGATTGCACTATGGCTATACAAAGCAAGGCATGCATGACCAAAAACACTTAAAATAGAGCTTAAACATGGAAAAATATGAGTAAAAGCTTGCTAGAGTGGAGCCAAAAACATGCTAAAATGGTGGTCCAAAGCATGATGCATGTTAAGGCAATAGGGAGGATTGCACTACAAGGTTATAAAGCATGCAAGAGTCAATCAAACCGACCCAAAATAGAGCTATATCATGCTAAAATAACACCAAAAAAATGCTAAGATGGAGCCTCAAGGAGGCTAGAATGATGGATCAAAGCATTGAGCACACAAGGCTAAATGGCAAGATTACACTACAAGTATAAAAATCATGCATGGGGTAACCAAACGAAGCCAAAATAGAGTTATGACATGCTGAAATAGGGCCAAAAATAGGCTGAAAACAAGCCAACACTTACTAGAAAAACAAGCTCAAACATGAGGCCATCAACACAAGCAACCAAGACACGAGGAGAGGGGATGACCCCCTCCTATTTGGGGCCTCAAAACACACTTTTCACCACTGAAATTTCTCTAGAATTCAGTGGTGAAGAGGCCAAACAAAGGTGATCTCAAAGGCCTAAAGAGGTGGCTCAAAACAAGGCAAAACAAGGCACAAAATGGGAGTAGACCACCCCCAACACCAAAGAGGTCTCAAACAAAACTTTAAGCACTTAAAAAATAAAGTTTTTTTAGTTAAAAGTTAAGCCAAAAGAAGCAGGCAAAGGTGGCCCAAACTAAGACAAAAACAAGTCTAAAAGGAGGTATATGCTTACCCTTGAAGAACCACAGCAAGAACAACCACTTCTCTGAGCTCAAACCAGCTTTTGAGTCCAAGCAAGACCCTCAGGTACCTCAACAACAAGATTTTGGTGTTTCACTAGGTGCTTTAGTGCAAAAGTGTGAAGAAAAATCACTTTATGGCACAAACAACACAAATATAGAGAGAGAGGGAGAAATATAGAGAGAGAGGGATATGTATATCTCTATGCAAATTTTCTGAACCCTAGAAATGGAGAGAGAGCCTCCCTCTTATAGAAATCCAAGTCTCAAGCTTGTTCAACAAGCTAGAAGCTTGGTGCAATCCCTCCATACACGTGTATAGAGGATGCTTTCTGTGCCCAACAGCTGGCACAGTTGGCAAGGAAAATATCTGCAAAAAATGCAGGATGGCCGCCAACCAGTTAAACTGGTCGGCCAACCATCTCCTCTAGTCGACCGACCAGAAAAAATGGTCTACAGGGACAAAAATTGGTCGACAAGGGAGATGGATGGTCTACACAAAGAGTAGAAGGTGGTGGCAAGCTGCCGACCACCTTAGATGGTCCACAGACCACCAACCCTAGTTGGCCGACCACTAGAAGTGGTCTACAGGGACAAAAAAGTGGTCTACAGGGGGAAATACTGGTCTATACCCTTGTTCCACTCTCCAGGCAAAGGATACCAAGGTTTGGTTCAAAAACAAACCAAAAAGGAAGCAAGACAAGAGTCTGGAAGGTGAGGCACCCAGCAGAAGGCCCCGAAAACTAGTCTACGGGTACAAAATGGGGCCTACGAGAGGGAAAGGTAGTCTACAGCTACAAAAAGTGGCCTACAGGCCTCTGTTTCCCTTTAGGCAAAGGCAACAAGGCATGGTCCAAAAATCGGGCCAAGAGGAGAAAGTTAGGAGGTCCCGAGACAATGCGTTCGGTTGAAGGCTCTGGAAACTCAAAACGAGCGCAAACATGCGCAATCATCGAGCGCTCAATCGATGACGTCTGAGTCTTAGGGTCGGTCAAAAATGGGGTGTCTACAGTTGATATTTGGAAAGAGGGGGATTTTGCCCTAATTTTGATTAAATCATTATTTTGCATAAATAATTGGGATTAACATTGAAATGTGAAATTGGAAGGTTGTGGTTATACATGGTGATATTGGATATGTATTATCTCACCTATATAAGTTTTGAATAAAATATTTTGTTTTGAGATTGAACATCTCTTATTGGGCTATCGGTGGAGGATAACTATGATTGTTGTAGAAATTGCATGAGGATTAGGCGATTTAATGTTAATCCATTGTTGGTGTCATTGAATATGACTATGTTATAAATACATTGTATATGTATGTTTATTGGGAGAAGAAAGGGGATGTACTCCATATGTGGTTAGGTTTATGAATACATTACATATGTATATTTGTTTGGAAAGAGAAAAGGGATGGACTCCATTTTAAAGCAAGTTAGCCAGAGTGTCCTGGGTGAAAGACCTAAAATTTCATATATAAATGGGTGTCGGTTCCTTCAGACGAAATATCCGTAAAATGGCAAGTTTGAAGTGTTTATGCGTGTTTTGCATAATTGGAAAACCATTGAATTGTAGTCTCATGTTGGTTGTTGAAAGATAATAAATTTAACTCATGAATTGAGTAGCATATATGGGGGTGTTTGGCAAGAAAAAAAATAGCCTAGTTTAGGCTAAAATTCACAAAAAGACAAAATAGGCTAAAATAGCTAATAAGACAAAATATCACATCAAACCCATAATCATTTCACTTTTTCTCTCACAAACATTACATCCAATCATAAAAAAATTCAATCATCTTCCCAAATACAAAAATTTTAGCCTACTGAGCCTCCGTTTGGCAAGAGCTAAACGGGGCTTTTTTGGCTATTTTAGCCACAAAAAACAAAATATCACATCCAACCCATAATTATTACATTCTTCTCTCACAAAAAAAGTCAAAAAAGCCAAAAAGCCAAAAAGCCCTTTCCAAACCAAACTTTTTAGCCCAGGCTAAAATAGCCAAAAAAGCCAAAAAGCCAAAAAGCCAACCCACTTCCCAAACGGAGGCTGAAATAGCCAAAAATTAAAATAGCCTACTAAAATAGCAACTTCCCAAACGAAGCCATGAATTGGAAATGAATTGATGGAAAAATGGAATAAGATTGGCTTTAGTGGCATATGGATATGCAGGCCTTGTAGATGCTTCCATATCGGTATTGTTTATGTACGTGGTATTTATACCTTTGCTAAACCTCATAAATTGTGTTAGATTTTTTCAACTAGGCTGTTGGCTCACCCTATACGGGAATATCATTTTCAGGTGCGAATGAGATGTTTCCTTCAAGGCAATAGCGTGGATGGATTTTCAGGAAGCAAGAGCTTCTTAATTATGTCTTGTGGTGTGTATGTTGGTATTTGTGAAGCCAAGGGCTTAAGATGTAATGAGCGAGACTCAATTTGTGTAACCAAGCAATGACTTAGAAAGATGTAAGTCTACATGACATTTAATTGGTTGTTAAATAGTAAACTCTGATGTATGAAAGTATGTTCTTTCTCATATTTATTTCACATATGAGTTATCTTTATTGTATTATTTTGAGGGCGTTACAGTGTAGGCTCATTCTTGGACACAATATTTTTTTTTTGTGTGTGCGACTAGGTAGTGGAACTCTTTGAAGAAAAGTGTGAGGTGTTCCCTATTTGTAAATTATTTTGTTAAATAATTAAGTCCAAATTTTACTATAACTAAGTTGTTGGTATAGTAAAATTTCTGTTGAACTTGTAATTTCTGTGGGTAAGGTGACATTTTGTTTTTATATGCTTCATGTCATGCTAGAAGTATTTAATGTTAAGACATGTGAAGGGGTGTGATCAGTCGGACTTTGTCTTTTGTAAGACAAGAACAGTCTCTACAAAAATAGTTAGTTTATTCATATGCTTCTATCCGTTTCCGAATTAATTTCTGTTTTTATTTTTCAGGTCAGAAATTTCTTGGAGAGGTGCAAAATATGGTCAAAGAATTTAAGAACTTAGTTTTTTAAGTTTTTTCATTTTTTAATATATGTAAGCACAGTTTAAAACTTTTTATTTAATTCATTTGTATCTATTTTGAAACATATTTAACTTTCATTTATGAAATATATGACGTTATTCCATTCAATATATGGTTGTGATTCAAAATATAGTATATAGTGTGTATTGCATTCTTCAAATGCGCGTACTAAAATAATATTAATTATTCTTTAAATAAATATTAATCACGGGTTTTATTAGATATTAATCATACCTAAAATATGTGATCTAAATATTTATTATCACATGTTTTATTAGTTATTAATCACATTTAAAAGATGTGATCTAAATGTTATTAATCACACTTAAAAGATGTGATCTAAATATTTTTAATCACACTTAAAAGGTGTGATCTAAATGTTATTAATCACACTTAAAAGGTGTAATTAGAAATGACCTCTTTTAATCACACTTCCAAACATCACACTTTCATAAAACTTAAAATGTGTGATTAAATAACATAAATCACACAAAAAAAGTGTGATCTTTATCTATTTTTGTAGTAGTGCAACAAGAAAGGAAAAATCATCGGTATTGGTAGCATCGGTATTTTTCCTAACCCTTCTATTGAAAATATTTTACTTGTTGATGGACTTAAGTATAACCTACTTAGTATTAGTCAATTATGTGATAAAGGTAATTGAGTTATTTTTGATAAATCACATTGCACAATTGAAAGCACGAATGATCATAAAGCTTTATTCGTTGGTAATCGTCACGATAATGTTTATGTTTTTCATCTCAATGATCTCTATGCTAGTGATGTTAAATGTCTATATGTTAATAATGAAAATAGTTGGTTATGGCATAGAAGGCTTGGTCATGCTCATATGGATTTAATTGCTAAACTTTTGAGAAAGGATTTGGTCATTGGACTTCCAAAAATTAAATTTGAAAAAGATCATCTTTGTGGTGCTTGTCAACAAGGAAACCAAACTAAAACATCGTTTAAATCAAAATATCACATTTTCACAACTAGACCTTTACAACTACTGCATATGGATTTATTTGGTCCCTCAAGGACATCTAGTCTAGATGGTAAAGATTATTGTCTTGTTATTGTTGATGATTATTCAAGATTTACATTGGTTATGTTTTTAGCACACAAAGATGAAACATTTTCTTCTTTCACAAAACTCTGTTGTAGAATTCAAAATGAAAAAGGCTTTCTTATTACTAATATTCGAACCGACCATGGTAGAGAACTTGAAAATGAGAAACTTGAATTGTTTTGTGATGAGCATGGTATTTGACATAATTTTTCAACACCTAGAATCCCTCAACAACATGGTAGTAGAAAGGAAGAATAGAACTTTAGAAGAGATGAGCAGAACAATGCTTTGCGAAAATAATCTTCCTAAATATTTTTGGGTCGAAGCCGTTCACACCGCATGCTATATTTTAAATCGTGCATTAATTAGACATATTCTCAAAAAGACTCCTTATGAACTTTGGCATGATAGAAAGCCCAACATTAGTCACTTGCATGTTTTTGGTTGTAAATGTTTTGTGCATAATAATGGCAAGGATAACTTAGGTAAATTTGATTCAAAATCTGATGAAGCAATTTTTCGTGGCTATTCCTTAACTAGCAAAACTTATCGTGTTTTTAATAAAAGAACTCTTGTTGTGGAAGAATCTATACATGTGGCATTTGATGAAACTAACATCTTTGCTCAAAAACAAATTGTCAGTGATAATATAGATTTGGAACCAAATCTGGAAGATTCAAGTATCTACAAAGAAGAGAACCAACCATGTTAGTTGAACAAAGAGGTTGAACAGCCTATTCTCCCACCTCAAGAAGAAGGAGGAAATAATGATGATTTGTCAAGAGAATGGAAGTTTGTTCATAATCACCTCAAGGATTTAATCCTAGGTGACTCTACAAAAGGTATTGAAACTCAATCTTCACTTAGAAACATTTGTAGTAACTTGGCTTTTCTCTCATAGATTGAGCCTAAAAACTTTCAAGAAGCCGAATTCGATGAACATTGGATAATAGTTATGCATGAAGAGCTTAACCAATTTGAGAGAAACAAAGTGTGGGAACTTGTGCCAAAACCTAAAGATCATACCATTATCGGAACCAAATGGATCTTTCGAAACAAACTTGATAAATCCGGCACAATTATAAGAAACAAGGCTAGACTTGTTGCACAAGGATACAATCAAGAAAAAGGTATTGATTTCGATGAAACTTTTGCTCCGGTTGCTAGATTAGAAGCCATTCGCATGTTACTTGCATTTGCATGTTTTAGAGATTTTAAACTTTATCAAATGGATGTAAAAAGTGCTTTTCTTAATGGTTTTATAAATGAGGAAGTTTATGTTAAACAATCCCAGGTTTTGAAGATCATGCTTTTCCAAATCATGTTTTTAAACTATCAAAAGTTTTATATGGTTTGAAACAAGCACCTCGTGCATGGTATGAACGATTAAGTAAATTTTTTATTGAAAATAATTTTTCTAGAGGAATGATTGACACAACACTTTTTGTTAAAACTAAAAATGATAGTTTACTTATTGTGCAAATATATGTGGATGACATTATATTTGGTGTTATTAATGAAACCTTGTAAGGAATTTGCTAAGTGTATGCAAGTTGAGTTTGAGACGAGCATGATGGGGGAGCTAAATTATTTCCTTGGGCTTCAAATCAAACAATGTAAGGAAGGAATTGTTATCAACCAAGCTAAGTATAAAAAAGAACTACTCAAAAAGTTTGGTATGTATGACTCAAAAATAGCTGGAACACCTATGAGCACATCCATTAAGCTAGACAAGGATGAAAAAGGGGAAGTCCATTAATCAAACAAAATATCGAGGTATAATCGGCTCACTTCTTTATTTAACCGCAAGTAGACCCGATATTATGTTTAGCGTTTGTATGTGTGCTAGATATCAATCAAATCCAAATGAATCATATTTTAGTGCTGTTAAAAGAATTTTTAGATATATTGTTGGTACTCAAAATTTGGGACTTTTTTATCCTAGAGGTGTTGCTTTTGATTTCATTAGTTACTCGGATGGCGACTTTGCTGGATGCAAGCTCGATAGAAAAAGCACCAGTGGCACTTGTCACTTTCTTGGTAACTCATTAGTATCTTGGTTTAGCAAAAAGCAAAATTATGCTGCTTAATCAACGACCGAAGCTGAATATATAGCTTCCGGAAGGTGTTGTTCCCAAATACTTTGGATGAAACAACAATTCGAGGACTTTGATTTGCATTATGATCATATCCCTATTAAAGTGATAATACTAGCTCCATCAATTTAAGTAAAAATCCGGTTCAACACTCACGAATAAAACATACTGAAATTCGACATCATTTTTTAAGAGATCATGTTCAAAAATGGGATATTGTACTTGAATTTGTAAACACTGACAAACAATTGACGGATATTTTCACAAAACCCCTAAGCGAGGATCGCTTCAATTTTATTCGTGGCGAGCTTGGAATGTTGATTTCTACTTAAAAAGTTTTATTGTGACTGTGAAACTTGAATTTTTGTTAAAATGATATATGTGTATTACTACATTGATATGGAAACATTTTATCAGTTAAATGCTCTCAAGTCCTTCATATAGTTATTCTCCTTAATAGTTTGTTATTCTCAACTGCGTAATTCTTTTTGGGTTCTGCATCTTGAGGTAAAATTAACTTTCCATACATTATTTTTTTTATACCCCCATGGTATTTTTTTTGCGTTACCATTCCAGCAACACCAACGTCCCATTAAGTTTAATTTCTGCTGGTATTATTGTATTTAATTTAATTTTTTTTATTGCTATTAGGCTTAATATCTTTTACTTTTTTTAATTTATTTTTTGTTGTTTTACTACTAGGCTTCATTTCCTTTATTATTTTTTTTTCTTTTTTTCTTTTCATTATTTTTTATTTTTTTTGTTGTTTTGCCCTGAGACTTAATTTTGATTTTTTTTTCTGCACTTTACTTTATTCTTCAAGTGATTACATTAAACATAAAATAAAAAAAAAACACCCTTCATTTTTTTACGATCATACGCCGATCAAAATAAACATATTTACATAAAATAAAAAAAAAAACCCTTCATTTTTTTTACGGCCATACGACGATCTTACTTACTCGCCTCTTCCATCATTTTCTTCTTCTTTTTATCACATTGGGCGACCTTTGACGCCCTTGCCCCCGTGCTTTCGTCGAGAGCGATGACTCCTCGCTGACTATCAAAGGCCAAGAACGACGTTGCTCCAAATCGGACCATGGAATTGGTCTTCCGTTTAAGCTCTTTATTTTCAGCCTTCAGTGTACCTATATCTGCTCGTGCATCCTTGTACATGCGCTGGAGCTGAGAGAGTTGGGCGTTGACTTGATGGAGCTCACTCGTCCTGTTCTACAATCGGTAAGCCAATTTTGTGACTGCAGTCACCGTCTCCATACAGGACGTTAGTGTGAAATGATTGGCTTGAATGCTTGATTGAGCTGCCATTATTTGCTCAA